TTCCAAAAAAGATGAAAAAAGATGCACAAAATACATTTGTGTACGTAATTTTTACTTTGAATTTTAAACACTGCATATAACCCTAACTTTAGTTTTAAATTTTAATATTATTCTAACCCTAACCCTAAAACTAATAAGTAAACCTTTCTTCTAGCTCTAAGAAAAGTTGTAGAGGAGATTTTTCTGGTTCTAATGGTGGTTAAATCATTAAAATCGGCCTGGTGGATCCCAAGATATTTGGGGTTAAAGGCGCGAACATAAAGATTTACAAATTCACTGTTACACAAAGTATTATAGTTTATAAAATTTCGTGTAATAGTAAATTTGTAAATCTTTATGTTCGCGCCTTTTACCCCAAATATCTTGGGATCCACCAGGCCGATTTTAATGATCTAACTACCATTAGAACCAGAAAAATCACCTCTACAACTTTTCTTAGAGCTAGAAGAAAGGTTTACTTATTAAAAAATTTTTTAATTTTTTAAAAAACCTAATTTTTACTATATAAATACTAAAAATAGAAAATCTTGTAAATCTTTGTGTAACACATGGTGGAAATAGCAAATTACTATGGTGGAAATAGGCATTTCCTTTAATTATAATATATTAAAATTTTATAATTGAATTCATAATAATTACTAATTTCTAACTCTTTCTGCAATAAATCCTTTTTATTAAATATGATATCTTGATCCAAATTTGAGTCTTTAGTTAAACTATTATTGGTACTTTCTTGTAAAGGTTTTTTTATTGTATTATATACTTTTTTTAAATGTTATCGCTAGTTATACTACTTATTTTTGGTTTTTTTTGGTATATTAATTAGTAGTATAAACAAAGATTAAGTATACATATAATATTTATATAATTAATCATTAAATTACTTATCTATTTATATATATATAGCAATTTATCTATATTTATCTATTATATACAATAATTATCGAACTAAATTTATATTTTTTAGCATAAATACTTAACAAAAGTGAATACTATTTTTTTTTACTTGAAGCTCTCAACTAGCTGCACATGATAATAGAGCTATTTTTTTAATAGTTTATTAAAATAATTAAAATATTAATAGTTATAATATAAAAATTAATTGTTAATTATTTATTAATTTTTAGTAAAAAATTTTAAAAAATTATTAAAAAATAGCTTTATTACCATGTAGAGCTAGTTTAGAGCTTCAGGTTAAAAAAAAATTGCATGCATATTTGTTAGATACTTATGCCAAAAAATGTAAATTTGATTTAATATTTAAATATATAGCCTATAAAAAATCCAAAATTAATGATCTTTATATATTAGCCTAACTAATGTTTGATTTAATTAGTTTAGGCCACATCCTACTGATATATATATCGAATTATAGAGTCAAAAGTCAATTTAATTTTGAATCTTATAAATTCAACCTAATATGATAAAAAAGATTTAGGGAGCATGATCAGATCGATCAGATTAAGCAGTTCGATCAGAATGATCAAATTAGATAAATAAGATCTGATCTTATAAAATTTTTATATGAAAATCATTTTTGTTTTATTCTAAAAGAAATGTGGTGGATCATGAGTAAAACTACAACCAATAAATAAGATGCTTAATGCTAATCATAAACTTTAGTAGAAATGATCTACTGCATATTAACAAAGAAAGATTAAAGGAGAGTTAAATTCATATAGATCTGAAGTTGATAATTTAGAATAAGAAAAAGTATGAATATAAAAAAACTTGTGATGATAGTTATTTTAGTTCTTTTAATGTTGGGGACAATTTTAATTATTGTTCAAATTAATTCAACATATTTTAACCAATTCATTATAATAAACATGTTTAGATAAAGGAGAATATTTTTATTGATTGAAATAAGATTATTATATAAAGGTAATTATATAAAAAATAGATTAAAGAAATCACTATAAAAAATTGTCTAAACCTTCATTATATAATGAAAATAATCGATCATATTTAGTAACAACTGCTAGATTAGTTTTTACTTAAGCTGGATTGAAAGAAGTAATATCTAGTAAATCCCATGATAGGGCCGACTAAGTGCAATAAATACCTGACTATATGCAAATATTTGTTTATTAATAGCAATTAAAATGTTAAATATAGTTAATTCTTGTGTTTTATGTATAGTAAGTGCAAAGGTATTTTGAAAGAGAAACTGATACTGATTTGCTGATAAGCTATTTAAAAGAAAGCGTTTAGTCATTCTTTTTATAATAGTTGTAATTATTCTTAATAGTGTTAAAAATACAACATTGATAGTATTTTCATTGATTAAATCAGTAATAATGCCAATAGATCTATTAAAAAGATTATGTTCAAATAGGTCATTATCAAGATATATGACACGGGCTCCTATTTGCAAAATTAAGATCGCAGATAAATTTGTAAGTTGGTGAAAATTATGGTCATTATCTACAGCATCCAATTCTTTATCATTAATATAATCGACAGCAATTGAAATGATGAGCTCTGGATTTTATGGTTTTCATAGTAATGTTAGACATACTAACTTGTTTTTTTTTTTTTTTTTTTTTTGGTGTTAAGGTGATCTCTATGGCTGGGAACTTTTTATTAGACTTATTAACTTCAGGTTATACAGTTACAATAAGGGTACATCAAGCCACACGTGTACTTTTGATACCTAATTTAAGTGGTCCACCTGGGTTCTACACTAGCTGCCATACCTGCAACCTAACTAGAAGATTACCTATTTTAAGCTCTCTGATTATTACTAATGAGAGTACAACTAGCCATACATGCAACTTTTGGTTGCCTATTTAAGTAGTCTGCCTAGATTCCACACTAGCTACCGTACCTGCATCCCAACTATGAGGATACCTATTTATACCCTCTGGTTACAACTGCCGTCCATTCCTAAGCCAACCAAGGTGTAACTCACTATTCATATGCTAGGTTTTGTAACACCTGTAGATTTCGCACCCATCTTAGGACTTACTAACTATTTCTGGCTAATCTATTCACAAGGTAAACCTAACAGAGTAGTCCATGTCCTACACATGTTTATACCTGCATGTTCGGTAATTTCCTTCTAACTAGTACCTGTTGTGCTGCCGTTACCGGGTTCGTATCTCAAGCTATCCTTTAAGATACTGCCGTAACCCGATCCGTATCTCAAGCTACAACCTTTCTAATTAGTCTTCCATTATGTACTCCTGCCCTTGTAAGGTTCGCACGACCCCAGTACCCACATTCAGACTTTCTTTTTTCCTTGGATTCTTTACCAGTCTCTCCCTTACTTCCAGCTGGCAACCGGAAAGGTTGGTCTGCCCAGGCTTTAGGTGCCTTACGGTCTCCCTACCCTTGATACATGCTTCCAGAGCACATGTCCTTTTCCTCCGGTTGGCGACCCAGCGGTTCGGCTGGTGTGTCCCCTCACTTAAGGACCTGGTCACTTGGTTCTCCGGTCTTGGTCTCCAATTCCAAATTTGGTCTTCCTGTAGCACCGTTGAAGATCATACTACCTCCCTACTCGGGGCTTGCCAAACGGGTTTTTGGTAATTCCGGTTTCCTGGATTTATTGCGCTGAAGCTCCCATTCAAGATGGTGTGACCAAGATTACAGATATCTGGATCCAACCAATAATCTTAACGTTAACCAATACAGGTCTAGTATTTTCAAAATCATCGTCCGTGAGATTCGAACTCTAGACCTGCCGCTTGGGGGTGCAACAACCCCACCACTTTACTAGGTCACCACACCCCTCAAATTCTGAAGTTTATTTAAGCCAAAAAGCATGATTTATATATATTTTTCAAATATATATCTTCTATATTTTCTAAATTAAAATCACTTTCTATTTACTATTTCACATGATATTTCACACCATAATTTATGCCTTCCTACTAATAATAATATGGCACTAATCGTGAATTATGCATCTCGACATCGAACAGTTGGCTTTGAATGCATCATTGGCTATTTAGACAGGCTTAAGTGATTAAATACATTTTCAAATATCAAAATTTTATAATTTTCGCCACAACATCTTAATCCTCTTCAAATTTACTATTGTTCATATATATCACGCCATTTTTTCTGATTTATGCAACTATAATTATACAATTATGCTTTCATGTTAAACTGGGATGGCTTTGAATACGTTTACATCTATTTAGACATTTTCTAAATATTAAATTCTTAATTCTCACCACGACTTTTAATTTAGTCGCTTTGAATATATAATTGATTTGTTTAGACGGGCTTGGAAATTATTATTTAAATTGTGCCCATTTTTGTATTTTAATTGGCTTAGTAATAAACCGTAGACTTATCTAGAATAAGAAGAATAGTGCTGTAATTAAATATATAGATATATACGTATGTAAAAAAAACATATGTATCTTATACTCATTTTGGTTAGTCAACTTTTTTTGAATACTTGGAATTGATTACTGGGAAAAAGATTGCATACAGTGGCTTCGTTCTGGTGTACTCTTATCTTTATATTTTAATATTTCATCCGCCTTATTACAAAAAGAAATAAAATAAAATAATTACAAAATTATTTATAAGTATTAAAACTTTGACTTTTTTTTGCATACCGGGTTAAAGAGATCTATATAATTCTCATAAATTATATGAGTGCCATTAACGAAAAATCTGTTTCTGGACATTCAATTATATTTTGTGTTCAGTTAGCTGTCTATGAAAAATTTATCATCGACTGATTTTCTATAAATAGCTAACTGTATAATTATTATTACAAAATAGTTAGACAATCTAATAAAATAGATAGCCAATCAGTGTGTTCCAATTCCATGTGATTCAGATTTATAATCACATAATAAGGGTATGCCTCTTGGCTCAAAGGCATGCCTTCAGGCATGCCCAGGGGGGCATGTCCCTGAGGCATGCCTTGGGACACCATGCCCCCAACCCTACCATTACACAAAACTTCATTTACACTAGGGAAGCATGGTGAACAATTATCATTACACAAGCCTTCCAAATCCAAAAATCATGACTCAGAGCTGACTTGGAGCCAAGTTGACCAATAAGAATGCAAGAATTTTATAATATGTCGTAATATTAGTATTAGTAAGTTCTGTTATTAGTTCGCTTTTAACTGCTTATATTTTAAATAATTTGCTTTAAATACAGCCACAACTATGTTATATAATTACTGTTATTACAATACCCAACTTACTGATTCAAATACACAAACCGCCAATGCTTTTACCTTTATTAACAGCTAAGTATACTGGTTTCTTTTTACTATAGACATCTTTGTATTTCATAGCTAATTTATATTAACATGTTTAATAAGTTTGCAGTTATATACAATAAAATAATAGCAATCTCAAAATATAGAGATTAACTCAAAATACTACAAAGGTTTATATTTTAGTATTTGATAAATCGGGTTCCAAAAGAAAATTATAGAAAATATGCAAATTTCAAATAATATAACACATCCAAAGCTTGGTGTCAAATGTTTAACTCTCAAAAAAATAATACAAGGATGGACAAGTGGAAACAAGAATATTGATAACTATATTATGGAATGTGAAGAATTAATTGATTACAAGCAAAATTCTTTTTAGATATGTATAATTTTTCAATAATTATGTAAAGCGGCATAAAAAAAATAAATTGGTTTTCATATCCTGGCCAGGTTAGAATTAATCAGAGTCAAAATTTTATTTTTATATCGCAGTAGGTAAGCAGCCAATAAGAATGCATAATTTCATTGTTATAAAATAGGATTGTAGTGAATGTATTTTTATTTTATACTTATAAAAAATAAGAGATTTTATACATATAATAAAAGATTTCTAAAAACTATCTGATTTAATTATTTTGTTCGGCACTGTTTTCTCTTTTTGTTTATACTTGAACTCCACTTATAACGCTTTTTGGTAGAGATTTTTTACCACATCTGGCATACAATAGATATTTACCTTTTGAAGGATTTGTTATATCCCTATTGCTATACAAAAAGCAAACTGGGGGGAAGATTTCTGCTGAATAGTAGGGTTTTTCAATTGGAGATACACAACTCCAAGAATCATTTACAAAGATATGTTAAAAGAGCTTGTAGATAAAATCATCTTTTGTGAATCTATTTTCAGGTTTGCCAGTTTCTTTGTTCACTGTATAGCTTGAATCTTCATTAATTTCTGTATTTCTCATATATGAGCAACTAGCTCTAGTAATCACATCATTTTGTTGGATTTTATCTTGCTGGCTTTTAACTTGTGGATCAATTTGTTTGTCGTCACTTAGTTGATCGTTACTTAGTTGATCATCACTTAGTTGATCATCACTTAGTTGGTCATCAATTAGTTGGTTGTTAATTAGTTGGTCATCACTTAGTTGGTCATCACTTAGTTGGTCATCACTTAGTTGGTCATCAATTAGTTGGTCATCAATTAGTTGGTTGTTACTTAGTTGGTTATCACTTAGTTGGTCGTCATTTTGTTAGCCGTTACTTAGTTGGTCATGGTTATTACTTAATTGGCTGTTACTTTGTTTATCACTTTGTTGTTCATTATTATTCTCAACATTGATAGTATCGGTATTAATGAAACTGGTAGAAGCAAGATCACAGGTATTATGAAAAGATATTTCGCATGTGTATAAGATCATGTCTAGGAAAGATTCTAATATTTTACGCTCTTTTTCTATTAATTTTTTTGAACTAAACAACAAACATGGTTTCTTATATTTTGAACAAGTAACAAAAATTCCTATGTTTCTTGCATGTATAGAGGAAGAGCTAAACGGCATGGTATGCTTTAGATTAGATTTTACTTTACCTAACTTGGTGGATCGTAATTTAGTATTTTTGAGCGAGGGTCTATATTCTTTTATTGTACATGTGCTATATAACTCATCAAATGATTTATAATAAACACCTTTGCCAGGAACTGGATTAGAGATACAATGAAGTTGTTCAAATTCTTCTTCGGAGCATCAAAGTGGTAGGCAAATCTTACATCTTTTGTTTCCGTATTTCTTAATAGTGAAAAAATAATGTCTTATAGTACAACAATGTTCGATAAATTTCTTCAACCGTGGCTACAAGAAGATAAGTACTATAGTTATTAATATTATCATAAACTCTAAAACACTTTACTTACTCTTTTTGTTATGCTTTCTGCTATACAATCTTGTTGAGTTACTTCATCATCAATTAGGTGAATTGTTTCCCATAATTCTGTAATATTAATTTCAGTTGCTGCATCAAATATTTTAAAAGGAATTTCTTTTAACAATTGGCATTCAAAGATGCTACGAACTAGATTAATTGGTTGCTAGACACTTCTAATAAGCTCATTTTTTAATTAGGGTTGCTTTCTGCAATGCATCAAATTTCTTTTATTATATTTGCTTTTTTTATTACTTTTTCTAGCTCATTATCCATTTTAGTTCACATTAGACCAATGCATTGCAGCCCAAGATTTAAAATAGACATTATGCGCTCTACTGGATTTTTCCAAGAGTGTTGGGGTGGGGTTCTTATTGCAACGAAGTAGTCAAGGTCTAAAGCCAGAAATAAGCATATGTATGACAATTAGATGTATGTAAATGTACAACAATAATCAGGTTCACTATCCATATAAAGATAGAGAACAGGTTTATTGGTGATGTTTTTTTCTAGTAAGATATTATATAATTCAACAGCATGTTTTATTGGTGAAGAAGGCTGAAAAATAGCATCTTTTAATCCAATATGAACCTCTCCTGCATAAAAATCTCTATTAATTGACTCTGGAATATCACATATTATTGTAACACTTGGTATTATTCTGGCCTTTGTATAGTCATGATTACCAACCATTATTGTAGAACTATTACTAACAACAACTTGCTTACCTCTTTCTATAGCAGCTACTGGATATCTGGGTTCTCCAACTTTACATCTATGTTTGTTATCTAAAGATACTAAAGTCGTAATTTCATGAAACTTTGTGACAAATTCTTTTTCATACTGAAACAATGCAGATGCATAATGTGCATCTGGATAATGAGCATGAAGCTGACGAACTTGTATCATAAATTTTAAAGATAGGTGTCCAGTATATTGTAAACTACTAAGTCTAGTTAGATTTTTAGACCAGAATTAGAGATGAAGCCATTGTGTGCTTGGAATTGGTGTATTGGGAGGATATTCATTTTTTATCTGAGTTAGTAAGTTATTAACTAAAATGGCAGTTGCTAGGTGAACAATTGTATTATATCGATGTTCGACGACTACTGTTACAAACTCTGATGCTTTTTTGAAAGAAAATCAGCTGCAATTTTCCAAAAAGCCTTATATTTACTTGGTCTATCAGGATTATGTTTACATAAATTAGTTGTAATTTTAGAGTTACCTAATTCAAGAGCTAATCTAATTCTTTCATCTATTTTTGCTTTGTTGACAGACTTAGGTGTAGAAGAATCTTTGATTAACATATAATAAATTATGCGGAGTGCTGCAGGTTTAGCTTTTGGTAAAAGTAGATCACATGTATGCAAATAGCTGGCTTTCATTATACAAGTATGATAGTGAGGAGCTTTGATCTAAAGCTCATTAACTATATTTGTGTTTTGTTGCATCAATGTAGTTTCATCAGCATTACTATCTATTTTCCAAATTGAAATTGTATTAAATGCATTATTGCCGGAATTAAACTGAAATTCGCCAAGTTTAAAAGTAAATGCTTGAGATAACCTTTGTACGTAACACATTCTTGAACTACAAATAAATGAATATAAGATTAGCTATTAACAATTATTACCATATTTTTGCGAGAGTATTATTTCGTGAAAATATGGTATTTTTAATTTACTTATATAGGAGTTGTTGGTAAATAATTTTTGATATCAATTGGTGTTCATAAAGGTAAATCATTAAGGGCATTTTCTAATTGGTAATATTTGATTTTGTCATCTGGTGTTACGAAAATATTACTTTGATGAATTTTAACTTTTATAGCATCTTCTATATTGCGTACTGGAAATGTAGATGCATGGTTTTCTGTTGTATTTTATTTTGTTACTATAAAAAACTAACATAATTTGAAATAGTTATGATCAAGCTATTATAGGGTTCACAAAGCCAAGTAAATAATGGTTTGAATATCCATGGTAATGTTGTATGTAATGCGAGAGCTTGGCAATAAAGATTTAACTCAATTGTATTAAAAGATTTTCTAGATGCCTTATATGACTCAGGGTTAGCATAACCAAAAAAGCCTAAGAATAATTCTGGAATATAATAGCTACATTCTTCAAATTTTTTGTGACCATACATATCAATATACCAAATTGCTTTAGATAATACAGGTTGAATCAATGAATAATGGGTACATATTGGGAGACAAATCTTCCGATATGTACCTATTATTCTACCATAGATCCGCCAAATAACTGTAGTATATCAGTAGTATATTAGTAGTATATAGGTTAGATATCGGGAGGTAGATCAATAATAGTAACATAAAATTAACATACTAGAACATCCCGGTATCTTACTCTTAGCACTATTTGGACTAAGAGTAAGATACCAGGACGTCCCAGTATGTTAATTTTATGTTACTATTATCGATCTACCTCACGATATCTAATCTATATGCTACCAATATGCTACAGATATGCTACAGTTATTTGGCAGATCTATGGTAGAATAATGAGTACATATCGGGAGATTTGTCTCCCGATATGTACCCATTATTTATTGATTCAACCTGTGTAAACAACTAACAAATTTTTTTCCTTGTATATTAGCATATTCAGCTGAAGCTATCCTCCTCCATGTTGAAGAATCCATTCAATTATATCATTGTATAATGTTTGTTTCCTGTTTAATCATTCTGATTTCAAAATAGGTAGCAAGTATATTTGTTTTTTTTGTATTATCATTTCAAATGCATTTTGGCGGGACACTAGAAAAGTTATGTTATCATTAGGTTTAAGAATATAGTGTATGTTTATGCCAAATGTCTTGGTTAGCTCTATTATTCCACAACTGTGACTGGTTTGAATGGCCATTGCACCTAATATTTGGCTTAGTTCGATATGATCAATTGTTTCTAAAGAATTTATAGAAATATTGTATTCTGAAGATATTTCACTTGTAACAAGTTTATCAAAAAAATCTTTAATAGACATTTCATATGGGATAGGATGGATATACCAACTATGAAGTGTTTTAGATCCTTTTGAAATGTATATGTTTGCAACTAGTATATTTTTTTGTTTGAAGTTTAGACAAAATTTTATATATATATTTTAGATTTTATTTTGACTC